CACAGACCAATGACAACCAGAAATTGCTAAAAGGTAACATCACGCCGGTTGTTACTCAATCTTTGGGTGAACCAATGGATGTTGACCCTTCTACGTCTCGTTTTAGACAAAACACGTCGTACCCAAGTCGAGGCCAATCGGGCAGGCAACATTCTAATTTTCAGCAATGGGTTAATAATCCACCTGATCGTCAAAGTTTAAAAACTAATCATTTAAGAATTAATCATCTGAGTGAAGAAAAGTCTGATCTTGATGAGGTATACAACGATCGTGGCGAACAAGAAGTAGCAGATATTGAAGAAGATCAGGTTAATTTTTTAGTGGCAGTTCCCTCCTGCCATGGATATCTAGATATGTAGGGGGGAAAGAAGTAAAACTGCTACTCGATACGGGAGCATCGAAAAGCTATATTAAACCATTGCCTATGCTGAAAGGTATTCGGCAGACTGATAAGAAATTTTCTGTAAAATCCATACATGGAACTACATTTATAACCCGTAAATGTAGAATTAACGTATTTGGTGTAACTTCCGATTTTTTATTCTCCAAATCTTATATCGTTTGATGGCGTTATAGGGCTCGATTTATTGGAAAAAGTTAATGCGACTTTGAATTTCAAAACTAAACTTATCACTCATGACTATGGTAGTGAAACTATACAGTTTCTGGCAGGCCAGGATGTTAGTCATTTGCAGGTTCGATCTGAGGCAGTGCCGTTGGCCATTAAGGAACTTTTCGATGAAATGATGAAGGAGAAATCCGGCGTTTTTGCAGATCCCAATGAAAAGCTCCCATACAATACCAATATCGTGGCAACAATTCGAACACGTGATGAGGAGCCAACACAGTCTAAACTATATCCGTACCCTATGAGTGTTAGATCGTTTGTAAATAATGAAATACAATTGCTGCTCGACAACGGCATTATTAGACCGTCGAGATCTCCATACAATAATCCCATATGGGTCGTAGATAAAAATGGTATTGACGAAAATGGAGTTAGGAAAAAGAGAATGGTTATAGACTTTAGAAAGTTAAATGCAAAAACTATTGAGGACTCATATCCCATTCCAAACATCGAAGTTATTATGTCCAATCTGGGCGATTCCAATTTCTTCACGATGCTTGACCTTAAATCAGGATTCCACCAAATCGAGCTTTCAGAGCGAGACCGAGAAAAGACAGCCTTTTCGGTTAGCAGTGGAAAATATGAGTTTTGTCGCCTCCCTTTTGGACTAAAAAATGCTCCCAGTGTGTTTCAAAGAGCGATTGATGATGTTCTGCGAGAACATATTGGGAAATATTGCTTTCTTTATATTGATGACGTCATCATTTTTACTAAAACTATGGAGGAGCACCTAAAACATATAGAGTTGATACTATCAAGCCTTTATGCATCAAATATGAGGGTATCGGCTGAGAAATCAACATTTTTTGAAGACGAAGTTGAGTATCTGGTTAGTCGCAGTAGAATTAAAACTTGTCCCAAAAAAGTTGAAGCAATCAAAGTATTTCCGGAGCCATGTACGTTAAAAGCTCTGCGATCCTTCTTAGGATTGTCTGGTTACTATAGGCGATTTATAAGGGATTACTCAAAGATTGCGAAACCATTGACCAGTATTCTTAGAGGCGAAAATGGTAGTGTCCCAGGGTCACAGTCCAAAAAGATAGTAATTTCATTAGATGAGAGTCAACAAGAAGCGTTTAATAAACTAAAACAAATTTTGGTCTCAGAAGAGGTTATGCTCGCGTATCCAAATTTTCGTAAGCCTTTTGAGCTTACAACCGACGCTTCTTCAAATGCGTTGGGTGCAGTCTTGTCTCAAGATGGTCGTCCCGTCACAATGATTTCAAGAACTCTTCAAAAAGCCGAAGAACATTATGCGACCAACGAGAGAGAGTTGCTTGCTATTGTTTGGGCTATTAAAACGTTAAGAAATTATCTTTATGGAGTAAAGGGCCTTAAGATCTATACGGATCATAAGCCCCTGACCTATGCCGTATCGGATCGAAATCCGAATTCAAAAATCCAAAGATGGAAAGCGTTCATTGAGGAGTACGATGCCACACTTTTCTATAAGCCCGGAAAAGAGAATCAAGTTGCAGATGCATTATCTCGCCAATATTTAAACTATACTGAAGAAGATAATAGTTCGGACATGGCAACAATTCATAGCGAGGAATCTTATTCAAATGCTATAGAATCCGTTACCAGACCAGTCAACTGCTACGCCAACCAAATAATTCTTGAGCAGGGAAAAACACCTTCTAAGCGAACAACCATTTTGTTTGGCAAGAAAATACGGCATATTATAGTTTTTACCGATTTTCAGAGCTTAATTAACACGGTGCATGACTGCGTTAAATTGGGAGTAGTTAATGCAATTAAGTGTGAATTGTCAGTTCTTGGTAAAATTCAAGATCTTGTCTGGTTGAGCTTTTCCCTAAAACTTGTTTCCGACACACCGAAAATATGGTTACTGACGTTTTTAACCCCAACGAGCAGCTCGAAATTATTAACCAGGAACATAATAGAGCTCATAGAGCTCCACAAGAAAACGTAAAACTAATTATTCGAGATTATTTTTTTCCCAAAATGGAGAAAAAGGCTAAGGAAGTTGCTTTAAACTGCAGGATTTGTTTGCAGGCAAAGTATGCTAGACACCCAACGAAGCATCCAATCTGCGAGACCCCTATTCCAACTTATGTCGGGGAACTTCTGCACGTTGACATTTACTCTACGGACTCAAACTATTTCCTGACATGCGTGGACAAGTTATCTAAGTTTGCAGTAGTGCAAAAAATAGCATCTCGTACAATATTGGATGTAAAAATACACCTTCTGCAGCTGTTAAATATATTTTCTCGAACAAAAACTATTTATTGTGACAACGAGCGGTCTTTAATCTCTAATACTGTTGTATCATGTCTTCGTGACCATTTCGGTATAACAATTGCAAGTGATCCACCTATGCACAGTACATCGAACGGGCAGGTCGAGAGATTTCACAGCACCTTAGTGCAATTGGTAGATGTTTAAAGTTAGCAAAAGGAATCGAGGACACAGCGGACATTATTTCATACAAATGAGCATTTCATATTTTTTGCATATTAATTTTGTTAGTTATAAAATAGTCTAAGCAACAATTGTTATGCATTTCACAAGGAAAACCACCACCGATACTATGTCGCCTGGATCAGCGATTTGGCCAGACATGAAAAAAGCCCACCTGGCAATTGGAAGCTGATCATATTCTACGGAATCGAGGACGACCCCGATTGAGGGGGGGAGTAGTTATCATGTAAAGCTTTGTAAATCCAAAGTTTCATTCGATACAGAGGCTTAAAAGCTATATCACTCGAAGCTTTGTTCCCACAAAGCTATTCTCAGTTGATAGCACTATCATTGAATCTCCCTGTGGTTATCACTCGAAGCTTTGTCCCCACAAAGCTATTCTCAGCTGATAGCACAAACGTCAAATATCCATGTGGTTGCTGACGTGGCGTCCGATTATTGGCGGAAATGCAAAAGCTTTATGATGGGCAAGCTTTATCGCTTGGAGCAGATCGCGTGGCCGGCAGTATCAAAAAGAACTCACCTAAGAGCAACACGCACAAGCTGTTGCTAATATCTATTAATTAGAATAAAGTCGAGCTGATACAAATCTTTTGTGGATCGCTAAATAAAGCCTCCACATTACAAAATAAAATAACTTACATACATTCATACATACAGTATGTCCATTAATTGTTTGTTTAATTGATTTTATTTCAATGATCGTGGGTTTGCCTATCAGAATGATTTTTGCTAGAAATGTAGTACCTGATCAATCCCAGTGGCCAAATTGGAATGCGATTTTCGATCCCTTGTACCTGCACATATACAGGTGAAATTTACCTTTTTAATAAGAAGCATTTGTATGTACATACATACATATACTGGCTAAATGGACCCATTTTAAAGAGTGCATCTGTTAGATGTCATAAAAATCATGCAATTAAAAAATACCTATAAAAGTAATAGGAAGTGCACTTGTTACTTTAGTTAATCATCTACTTAAATATAAGCGCGCCTCTTCCGGTCAAACCCAAAATCGTTCACACAATTCTAAGTTGTCGTAGGCACACGTCAATGCTCATGTCGCATGCATACATTTATAAACATACACACACGCACATACATATAAAGGCACTGAACTGCTTCTACAATGATAACCCCATCATTTGTGAGCATCGCGGCCCCTGCGTACACACAATCAAACATATTTATGTAAGTGTGAGCACTTCACAAGATCGACCAAATGCAAATGCTAGGATTTCAAATTGCTATAGCCAGCTAGGGCTTTGCACACAGGCATACAAATGCTCATAGTACATGTAGCATACTGTAAGTGTGTGTGTGCATGCTCGTCGCAAAAACATTTTCATTATGCGCACCAACGCTTTCATACTCTTCCCACAAATAATAACGCAAACGCATGGCAAACGGCTTGAAGAGTTCGGAATACTCTTCCCTCAGAAGGGAAGACATGGGCTCTTGCTGCGAAGAAATTTCAATTCTTGTGAGCGCTACTTGTGCTCACATGCATACATACATATACACATACGAGAGAGCAGAGAGCATCGAGAGAGAGAGAGAGAGAGCAAGGGAAACATTGAGCATAGATGGATCTTTTGTTCAAAAGTTGACCATCTCGGTCGAGCGCATGAAGCGAAATGATTGTGCGTTCGTATTTTTTCGTAGCTCGAACCTAAAAGTAAGGAGCCGAGCGAGTCCAAAGCTGTCTGGGGTTGTAAAGCCTCAAAAAAAGCGTGCAAAAAGCTTTCCACTAGTTGTCTAGTCTATGTGTTCTCTGGTTAGTGGTCGCATATACAATTTGTTATTTTGAACTGCATGGCATCGCTTGAAAATTGATTTTTTTGGCTTCACCCATCACTTTTCAATGCGATGCAGCCCTGTTCAAAAACGTGTAATCGATATCAGACCTATCGAATATTGCTTATTTGCGTTATAATTTTTGAAGCTTGATCATGCCAAAAGAAATTTTATAAACAAAAGTTCCGCGATTCGTGGATGGACGAATCGGAATTAAAGAATTGGATGTGTCGGGATCCCAAGGACCCCGACAAGGCATATTGCAAATATTGCAAGTGCACGTTAAATTCCAAAATTGACCAGCTTCGCGCGCATGGTCGTACAAAAAAACATGTGCAAAGGGCAGAGCCTTCCGCACAGGTAAATAAAATTCAGTTTAAACCTCTGGCAAGCAATGTAACTTGCAGACAGGAAGCGGCACTTGCAGTTTTTTGTGCACAACATTGCGCAATCAACACTGTTGGCCATTTGAGCGAGTTGTGTGGGTTGCAATTTGACGCAAAAGATATAAAATTGCACAGAACCAAGTGCACAGGGATAATTAAAAATGTTTTGGCCCCGCACTTCGAGGAGGAGCTAAAAAATGATATAGGGGAAAGCAAATATTGCTTATTAATAGACGAGTCAACTGATGTTTGCATTAATAAGATGCTAGGTAAGAAACCATCTTTAGTACTTAAACAATTTTAATTATTATATTTGTTATTCAGGTGTCGCCATAATTTATTATAGCCATCAACGTATGGACATAACATAAACATTGTTGTCGCTGATTCCACTTGAAAATGGAGACGCGGTCACTATATCAAACTGTGTATTGGCAGAATTGTGTAAACGGAAACTCCCAATAAAAAACTTGATTGGAATCGGTACAGACAACGCAAACGTCATGGTGGGTAAGAAGAAAAGTGTTTATGTGGAGTTAAGGAAGACCGTACCGTCCTTAATTTTAATAAAGTGCGTGTGCCATTCAGTGCAATTGGCGGTTAATGCAGCTTGTAAGAGAACATTGCCAGAATCGCTTGAATTCATAATAAGCGAAACCTACTCATGGTTTTCAAAGAGTTCAAGTAGACAGATGGCTTACAAAAGTTTATATCAGGTCATAAACAGTGATGAAGTTTACATACATAACATTATTCTTCCAGATTATTAATTTGTGTGTTTGTGTTGCATTTTAACCACGTACTAAAAGTATATGTTGGCTTGAAACTTGTCCCAAGTAAATGTTTTGTTTTAAATAATTCAACTTATTGTGAATGTAATACAATTAATTATGGCTCTCGCATATAATGTTTTTTTTTTATTCAGGAACCCCTTAAGATCCCTAGAGTATGCGACACGAGGTGGCTTTCAATTGAAAATGCCGTTAAACGAATTTTTAGCCAATGGAATGAATTAAAGCTGCATTTTAATACCGCAGCGGTAACAGAAAAGTGTCACAAAGCTTCAATTTTAAGTGTAGTATACTATGAGGTCAATTACCTGTACCTACTATTTTTAAAGCCTATTCTGGAAGTTATGCAGCGTATAAACAAAAACTTCCAATCAAATAAATCAAACCCCACAAAATTACTGGGAGACTTAATTTTTGGAATTAATTTCCTAAAAACAAAAGTAATTCCGCCCGATTTCCAAATCGATATTTTGGAAGATGATTTTGAACTTTATATAAAACGCGATTTATATTTGGGATAGGTATTAATGACATCGCAGAGATGAGTATTCGCCAACATTGCACTGACTTCGTTGTTGAATTGATTTCTCAACTAAAACATAGGTATGACAATTCTTATTGCATTATATTTGTAAATTAAATCGAATATAATTATTTTCAGATTGCCAGATTACTTTGAAATTTTGAAAAAAATAGATGCATTTTCCGTTCAAAATATATTGCGAGCAAATAAAGACCCAATAATTCAAATATTGGAGTTATTTGCAGTCAATGCCGAAGAAATTGAGAAAATTGTATTTCAATATAATACAGTTCACCTTGTCCAATGGAAAAATCAAGAGGATACCGTATCGCTTTGGTCTGAGGTCAATAAGCATATGGATTCTGCGGGCAACAAACAATTTGAAAGTTTGTCTTTATTTGCAATAAATTTACTCTCGTTGCCATGGTCGAACGCCGAAGTCGAGCGGGTGTTTAGCCAAGTTAATTTGGTCAAAACAACGCTAAGAAACAGGCTTCATATTGATACATTAAATTCGATTTTGACAGTTAGGTAAGTTTTTATTTGTTAAGAAATATTTTTGTACATATATAAGTTAAGCGCACCCACACTAGAGTACTAGTGATTGGGGACGCTGTGTTGGGTTCTTGTGAATATATAACAACTTGGTGTTCGATGAAATAATATATTTTATATAATTTGGAACAATAGGTCTGAACTGTGTCTGGTCCGAATATAAACTGAACTAAATCTGTTCAACTGGTGAGGTTCTCCCCTTGAATGTCTGACGGAACTCTCCAGGCTCCTTAGATTGTCGAAAGTCTCAACTCTTCCCCATCTAAATATCTGCGTCCCGCAGATCAGGGTGCATGTCCATTGTAACGATATTCATCCAATATAAATTGTCCAATATAATGATAATTATCCAATATAAATTGCCCAATATAATGATATTTATCTAATACGATATCCATCCAATATAAATTGTCCAATATAATGATAATTATCCAATATAAATTTATTATCCAGAGTCCATAAATTAGCATTTGTGGTTATGACAATACATCCAACATTGTAAGCGCATTTATTTCATTCCGTCTGGCATCTCGGAAATCCCTATTACCATGAATGATCGAAACTAGGAGGGATATACCACGTGTAAAATGCTGTGGATGCTATGGGTGCTAAGGAAGTTAAGGAAGCTAAAAGAAGATTATTGCAATATAATTAAATGTGCTATGGGTGCTAGGAAGTCAAGGAAGTTAAAAGAGGATTATTACAATATAATTAAATGTGCATTTTCCTTTTTTTCCTATTTTCTTAAATCTGATTTATGAAGAATTTTTCCAGTTTTTGTTTTGTTGATAATCATTAATTCCACGAGACATAGTCCCGTTTAGTCCCCTTATGAAAACATCTAAAGCTCTATCTCTATATGATTCTATTAATGCGGACAATACTACGACTCATTGTTCGCTTGTTTAAGGCCTGTAAAATTTAAGAAAACTGACTATTAACTTGCTTATAGTAGGTTTCCAAGTCGTTGTTGCCTTGAATCATTTGATTCAATTCGTATTCCAAGGTTCGAACACTTTAACACAGTCCGGCAATGACGAAATTTCATTTAATTCAAGCTCCGAACGTGGACGGGCCAGTGAGATTTGTTGTTCTTCTATTAATAAAGACTTATTAGTATCCTTATTTTCCAATTTATCCACTTTACTATTCAATTGCTTCAATTCTCCTTTTAGACTTGAAAATTGATCGGCTAACACCGTTACTGCCGCGCTTAACCCTTGCAATGTTTCATTTATATTTTCTATCGCGTCGATGGCCCTCGTAGCTAGTACGTTTAATAATTTTTAGATTTATATTTTTTATATTATCTAATAAATAAATAATAATAATAATAATATTTTCCATACTGCCTACGAATTTAAATTATTTATTAGCAAATTAATCTCACTGTAAATGTTATTTTAAACAAGAGCATTTTTTTATGACTTACTCACCCGTTACCTGGTATTTTTTATTCTATTTATTTATATAATTTTTATTATTATTATTATTATTACCTTTTTTAGTAAGATTTCTTTTTAGGTTTTTTTTTATTTTTTCGTAAATTTTTCAAAAAATTTTTTACTTACGGCTTGAGCTCGGTGCACAAGTGAACTAAATAATTTTAATGTCGGAAAACTTACTTACTATTCGACTCGATGCAAGGCCTACTATGTTATCAATTTAATTTTTCGATTTAATTTTTCTACATTAAATCAGTTTTTTCATTGTTTCCAAGTTACTGCTATTTACCGTTTCCAATTGAGATAAGAAAATGATATTAATCGTCTCGCGGAATTCCTTGCTGTGGAGATAAAACGTTAGTAATGCTCTAACAGTCTTGTAAACACAATTTTTTTAACACTTTTTTTAACACATTTTTAAATTGTTGATGTGAATATTTATATTTTGTGAATATATTTCTTTAATATATTATTTCATCGAATTACCAATTGTATTATTACGTGTGTTATTGTTTTGTCTGTTGTAAAATTATTTGAATTATCAATTTCTAAGTATGTTGCATTGTCTCATTTTCTGGTTTCTCTCTTGCATTTATTGCATTTGCATTTATTTATTTAAATAATTCATGTTTGCATATTTGCATATTTATGTCTTGTTTGTTGAGACAGCCGCCTTTTAATTTTGTTATATTGTCAGTGCTTTAAACTTAACTCCTTTTAATTTATACGGAAACCCATCATTCAACACAGGTGGAAATTGTGACGTTTATTTTTTTATCATATTTGTCTTACGGCAAGGATTTGAACCTCGATACGAGAATCAATCTGTACCACCATTTAGCCTGCAAAATTGTGACGTTTATTTTTTTATCATATTTGTCTTACGGCAAGGATTTGAGCCTCGATACGAGAATCAATCTGTACCACCATTTAGCCTGCAAAATTGTGACGTTTATTTTTTTTATCATATTTGTCTTACGGCAAGGATTTGAACCTCGATACGAGAATCAATCTGTACCACCATTTAGCCTGCAAATTTCTTGTATTTCGTTTTAAGGATCGTCTCTACAAGGAAACATGTAACGCACTGTGCAAAGAATAATCCCTAGTGCACACAGGTAAATGAAGCGGACGATAATGTCTAGTTGCTCGGGACGGAACCGAAAAATTTAGACGACCCAACAAAAAGGACGAATCAATTATACAGAAAAACAAGTAAGAAGAAGCTTTAGTCGAGACTGCTCGACTACGAGATCCCCTGAACCCTTGGAGCAATAGCTATTTCAAAATTTTTTCGCGTCTTTCAGCTTACACAAGAAACACGCACGCATACACACACACACACACACACACACACACACGCACGCACACACAGGAGGAGTTCGAGTTGCGTTTTCACGGAGTGCGGTCGATGTCATCGTGATCCATCGTAGACAATAGCTTGAACTGTGTTTTCCCCTGTGAAAGTGGAAAGAACTGAAGTCAACGTGTTTGCTGTGGGCGCGGCGTACCCAGCGACCTCAAAAAAACTACCAGAGACTTACTGCGCGGCGGTTCGTGGAATTCCCAAGCGGTATAATTCGGTGGTGCAAGAGAGGGGGGGCGATAGCGTCATTGTCTTGGCGTCAGGGCTTCTTCCTTTCCTTGTCTTTTGTGGGCGCGTAAATTTTGTTACTTTAGGCGTCGAAATTGCGCAATAATAAAAATCAGGTGCATTCACTCTAACAGCTGTTAGTAGTGCTGGAAATTGCATCGGGCAATCAGCTGCTCACTAACGTTGGTGAGTTGCTAAGCCTTAGCAAAGACAGCAACCTAGCTGCTGGAGTGAAGTAGCAGTTATTAAAAGTAGTGCATACTTTCGGGCTCTCGCTGTAGTCAAGTTGAGTTTAAGTTACTGCGGGTTGTAAACTCAGATTATTTTAGTAGCCATTGCCCACTACAGGCTTCACGCCGTGGTAGTCGGAGCAGAAATGGATGCCATGATGGAGGACGAGCTGCAAGCTTTTGCGCGTCGTTCCTCGTTGCAGCGATCGCCGCAGCAACAACAGAGGGCGTTGGCGCAGCCGTCGACTTCTAACCAGGCTCCAGTGGCTGAGTGCCAGGCACCCAAGTCACTAAAAGAAGCGTTAGCTCAAATAGGAGCTACACTAGAGGGTTTGTCTGCCTTATTTGGGGGTCAGCGGCATATAAATGCCTTAATGAGAGAGGAGCTGGCTAGGCTGGTCAGCCTTCACACGACGGCCGAAGCGTTCTGCAATCGACCGGTCAAAGACTGCGAGGTGCAGACCACGCTGGTCAAGAAAGTAGCTGAGAAGGCTAAATCAACGAGCGTTAGTGCTACAGCAGGTAGTAATACGCCCAAGCGGTTGAGGGAAGTTGCCACTGAGCATAGGAAAACTCCCTCGAAAAAGCCGAGGCACAATAAAAGCGCAGCAAATCCAATAGAGCCAATGGCTCTACGGGCTGCAGCCGATAATACCAACTTTCAGGTGTAGGTGGTTGCAGCTATGCGGACATGCTTCGCGTAGTCAAGAGCGACCCAAATTTGAAGCATCTGAGCAGCGACGTTCAAGGCATTAGGAAGACAGCTAAGGGGGACCTTTTATTGCAACTGAGTAGGAAGCCGGAGCATAGCGCTGAGGCTCTGCACGAAGCTGTAGGCAAGGCCTTGGGAGACCGAGCGGTAGTTAAAACACTTACCGAATCGGCTCAAGTTGAGATTCGCGATCTAGATGAGTTAGCGACCAAAGAGGAGATCTTGGAGGCAATTAGGGTGGAGTTGAAGGATAGCTCACTCCCCATTGAGGCTATCAAATCGCTTCGGCCAGCTTTTGGTGGACAGCAAAGAGCTACGGTTGCTCTTCCAATTGGGAAAGCTAAAACTCTGCTCGAGCTGTCCAAAATTAGAATAGGATGGGTAGTTTGCCGTATCCGAGCCGTGGAGCAGCCTAAACGCTGTTTCAAGTGCCTCGATTACGGTCATATGGCAGCAAACTGCGGCAGCGACTGTGACTTAAAGGGCGCCTGTTTCAGGTGTGGAGAGATGGGTCACAGTGCCAAAGCATGCACCAAGCCACCAAAATGTAGCCTCTGCATCCGGAAAGGTGAAAAGCAGACGGACCATTCAGCAGGCAGCTTCAAGTGCCCATCTTACCGCGAAGCTTCTCGTAAAATGAAATGTTAAGGTTTTTGCAGCTTAACTTAAATCATTGTGTTGCTGCCCAAGATCTTCTAGAACAGACCATTAGGGAAAAATGTATAGATGTAGCTTTTCTCAGTGAGCCTCACCACTGTAGAACCAGCTGCCCTAGGACATGGTCAACAGACGTTAATGGCAAAGCTGCGTTGTGGGTATGCGGCAACTCAACGAACTTACTTTCGAATTTTAAGTCATTCAATGGGTTCGTACGTGGCCGATATGGTAGCTTATGGCTTTACAGTTGCTATCTGGCCCCCAGCATGCAGCTTAGTGAATTCACGACGGTGCTCGACGAGCTTGCCGAGGATGCTAGGGGTCGGAAGGCCATTATTGCTGGAGATTTTAACTCCTGGGCGCTAGAATGGGGTAGCCCCACAACAAATGCCAGAGGTCGTATCCTATCTTCGCGACACTAGATGTTGCACTGCTCAACACTGGCCATGAGTACACCTTCAGTCGGGCGGGATACGGGTCTGTTATCGACATTACTTTTGTCACTTCATCCCTCTTTCGGGGAGCAACATGGAGCCATTGCGATAGCTATATGGGCAGCGATCATACGGCACTTCTGTTCACAATAGGTGAGCCACCTGCCAGGGCGTCAACATTGTGGAGGGAGTCGTATCGGCTAGATACTTTTGATCCCGCGGTCTTTTCAGAGGCCATTCAGTCTCTGGGTACAATTGGTAATGCTGAAGCCAGAGCATGCCAAATGGTAGCCCAAATACAGAGTGCCTGCAATAGCAGCATGTTACGCCGCAAGCAGTTAACGCGACAACAAGAGCCTACGTATTGGTGGAATGCACATATTGGTGGAATGCACAAATAGGTGACATTCGTCGCAAATGCATCCAGGCGAGAAGAAGCTACCAACGGGCTCGCGGTAGGTCTACGTTTTTTGAGAAACAATTAGCTTACCAGGCAGCTAGAAGACAGCTGAAGAGGGCCATTCGGGCAAGCAAAAGAGAATGCTTTCTAGAGTTGTGCGACTCAGCCGAATATGACCCTTGGGGCATGGCATATAAGATAGTAGTTAAAAGACTATACGCTCTTTCCAGAAAGTTTAAGCTCCATTCACGCCCCTGCGTCCGAGTCTGCTGATCAGGGCTCAACGAGCACTGAAATTGTTTTAGTCACAGAGGAAGAAATCATAGGAGAGTTACTCCGGGGTCTTAGAACCAACACAGCTCCAGGGCCAGACGGGATCCCAAGTCGTGCGCTAAAGCCACGAGGAAGCTGACGAGTGCCCCTGGTGCGAGCGAGGGCATGTGGAAGACGCCAACCACATTCTTTTCGAATGTGGACGGTTCCTGGAGGAGAGGCGTCGTCTGGAAGAGGCAGTGGGCCGCTCCATCAGAGCGGACAACTTAGTCAACGCCATGCTGGAATCGGAGGAAGCTTGGGAACTAACAAGCAATTTCGCGGCCACGGTGATGATGGAGCTCCGCAGAGTCGAGCGACTGAGAAGACGAGCTGTCCCAGGCTAAGGTAGCGCATAGTGCTTGCGAAGCAATGCTTTACGGCCGTCCCGCAAGCACCGCGCGCTATCCTAGCCACCACGCAACTTGCAATTTGTTATATAAGTTTGTCAATAAATGAATATAAAAAAAAACAAGTAAGAAAGCTCTAGTCGAGACTGCTCGACTACGAGATCCCCTGAACCCTTGGAGCAATAGATATTTCAATACTTTTTCGCGACTTTCAGCTTACACAAGAAACACGCACACACACACACACACACGCACGTACGCACACACAGGTATACATACACACACACACAGCATACAGACACAAACGCATACACACACACACATACACATACACATACAAGCAACCACGCATAAACACGCATGGGCTGCAGTGTGCGCTTACTATGAGAACTTAATTGTTTAATAACTTTTTTTTATGGACGTACGATCTTCATGAAACTTTTAGATTATGATTATAACATGAATATGCATGTGATTGCCAAAGCACAAGTCTCTAGTATTTGAAATACGCTTTTTACAAAAGTGAGGGTGAGGGGGTGAATTTAGAGGTGGGGGGTAAATTTTAACAAAAACCGAAATTGTATAAATTGCATATAAGCATACATTAAAAATTTGGAGACTCTAGCAATAAAGGTGTAGAAGATATAATTTTATAACTGGGTTTCGATAAGGTTTTTTATCGATAAAAAAATATCGAGATGAGTTATCGATTTTTAATGATAAACTTGATATGCGCGCTGTAATTACGGACATTTTAAAAAAAATTTGAAGTCTCTAGCTCTTATATCTTCTGAAATCGACGCGTTCATACATACGGACAGACGGACAGACGGACAGACAGACAGACAGACGGACAGGGCCAAATCAACTCAGCTCGTCACCCTGATCAAGAATATATATACTTTGTGGGGTCTGCCACGCCTCCTTCTCCCTGTTACATACATTTCAACAAAACCATTATACCCTGATTTCCCATTGAAAATGGGTTCAGGGTATAAAAACACACACACACACGCATACACACACAAACGCATACACACACACACACATACACACACAAGCACCCACGCATAAACACGCATGGGCTGCAGTGTGAGCTTACTATGAGAACTTCATTGTTTAATAACTTTTGTGGACATACGATCTTCATGAAACTTTAAGATTATGATTAAACCATGGATATGTATTGCCAAAGCGCAAGTCTCTAGTACTTGAAATACGCTTTTTACAAACATGTGGGTGAGGGGGTGAATTTAAGGGTGGGGGGTAAATTTTAACAAAAACCGAAATTGCATAAATTGCATACATAAAAAATTTGGAGAGTAGCAATAAAGGTGTAGGAGATATAATTTTATAACTGGTTTTCGATAAGGTTTTTTATCGATAAAAAAAGATCGGGATGAGTTATCGATTTTTAATGATAAACTTGATATGCGTGCTGTAATTACGGACATTTTAAAAAAAATTTAAGTCTCTAGCTCTTATATCCTCTGAAATCGACGCGTTCATACATACGGACAGACGGACGGACAGGGCCAAATCATCTCAGCTCGTCGCCCTGATCAAGAATATATATACTTTATGGGGTCTGCCACGCCTCCTTCTGCCTGTTACATACTTTTAACAAAACCATTATACCCTGATTACCCATTTTCAAT